AAGGAGCAAAAAAAAGCATGCCCGCCCCGGGCCTGCCGGGCCTTGCGAGAAAAGCCACTTTATGATCTGTAACTCTGTTTATAGACAAGATGTAGTATACCAAATAATACCGTTTTGTAAAAATCGTGGAGCTCTATCATACCTGATTGAGTTGGTTCGAAATCATTGCTTCTGAAAGAAATTATGGCAGGGCCCGCGAAGGCCCGGCAAAGGCCCGGATTACAAGTATGGAAAAATGGGAAAAAAGCAAGGGGTGGAAAGGATGAAAAGGGCAAGGTTGAGGAAAAAATCGGAAATACGATTAGAAAAAAAAACTTTAGATGTGGAAATAAACACTGTTTTTGAGACTCAATAATGTGGTCTTAGTTTGCGAAAATTCATTAGTAATTTTTTTAACCCTTCCAAAATCTAAAAACTCGATACTCCCACTTTGACCTAAATTATCTCGATTTCTGTAAAAGATATCAAAACTTTGTAAATTTAAAAAATGCTTATCATAATATCACCAACATTTTATCAGTTGACAGATTTTTGATATGACTTACAGAAATCGAGATAATTTAGGTCTAAGTGCAAGTATCGAATTGATAGGTTTAGAAGGAAATTTTTATGAATGGATTTTGCGATGTAGCGATTATTTTTAGATTTTAGCGAAATAAAAATATAACAAAACAGAAAATTTTTTCAGCAAAAACCTTCTTGGAAAGTGATGTAACCAATTGCTCTACAATCTTAAAATTCAATCTTTTAATTGGAAAAAATCGAACTACATAGATAAGAAGAACAATGACTTTCTTCTTCTTTTTCTTTATTTTTACTCTTCCTTTTTCTAGGTTATGAGTAGGAGGTCCTCCGTCCCAAGAAACTAAAAAATATTCCCCCTCTATTGTTTCAACCTATCCAACCAGAAATTTGGCTGGAATTGTCTGAAACCTTCTAGGAACCAAAAAGGAAAGAGGGCGTACCTGAGAAGTGTGCAACTGAATCAACTTTCTTCGCATTTCCTGGAGCATTCGAGTACCATCCGATTGGCGGAGCATGTTTTTTAGAGCCTGAAAACGAAATTCATTGGAAAAGGGAACAACCCCAACGTCTGAAAATGACAATTCTCTGAAATAATAGAAAATTTTGTGAGGGGACGGGATAGATTTGAAGAAAAAGGGAGAACATGATGTCTGAATTTCAGAAAAATTGTCGAAAGGATTAACGTTTGATAGATTATATGATGAGATTCGAGGTGGTGACTGCAATGACGAGACACTAAAATTAATTTGTGGGAAGTTAGCAAACGGATATTTTCTTAAATAGTTCCCTGTTTCGCAGAATTTCGGATCAAGACATTTTATTGAGAAGTCACATTATAACTGATCGGATATCAAGTTTTTTCTGGAAGTTTGCAAGGAAGTTTGCCAGATTTATCCGGGAAAGGGCTGATTCTAGAAAGTTCATGAACTAGGCTCACTAATTTTTTTTTGAATACTAAGTGAACGGTAAAGTACAGTTTTTGAAGCGGCAAACTACAGTCGTCCAAATTGTCCCATGCTGCGGTCAAGGATCTATTCAGGGCTTCCGAATTAGGAAATTTTTTGTGGAGACTTATTGGGTCCAATATTTCCATAACGAAAAATTCGTCGGATTGACTACCGGACTGGAAGCTGGCCCACGATCCAAGGGTACATCGAAANAGGGCACATCGAGTTCTTAAGGTACATTGGTTCTGAGGGTACATGGGATCTTAGACTGTAAGGCGTTTTGGCCTAAGCCTATAATTTTGAGCAGAAATTCAAATAGTATGTATAAAAATATTGATTTACTTTTTTTGTCCACCTACATGTACCGAACAATCCAATGTACCCTTGGAACCAATGTACCCTAAGAACTCGATGTACCCTTTTTCGATGTACCCTTGGATACTGGGCCCTGGAAGCTAGCCATCAATCTTTTGTGAGAAAATCCGAAAAATCGACTCGGAACCAGTGACAAGTGAACTTCAGTGGGTGCAGGCACTCCGTACTGTTAGAATGTCCAATTGCCGTTCACAAGACGTAATTGGGACTGCGGCAGCCCCTCCGACTTCAAAATCCGCTCGATGTAGAATTTTTGTTGGTTTGGCTCCAAAATCGACAAAATTTTACCATTTGAGCATATCTCACCAAATACGGTCACCGTGACCAAGTGAGAAGACTTATTCAGAATTTTCAATCACCAACATGCACTCTAATAATCGATAGACATGATTCAGTTGTTCTAGCCAGTCTTGTCTGCCTCAACAGTGAACATCTTCATCTGTGAAAAAGGGTCTTCAAGTGCGTGCCGAAGCGCGTGCCTCGAAGGAGATCTTCAGATTTTTTCAGTTGTAACCTCTTGTGACGGTCTGTTCAGAAAGCGCCTTTTCGGGTTCAATATGGAATCATATGGAGCTGGTTTCGGAGGATATTTCTCATTGATTTGGGGAACATTTTAAACTACGACGCCATTTTTTTCATGATTCTTTCGTAATTCCTACTAATTTTCTCTCTCACGGCTTTGACGACTTCAGAGGTTGTCCCAAACATCAGATGACCGCTTTTTCCTATATTCTTGAAAGTTCCCAAGCCTCTAAACCGAAAAGTGTTTGATTGACCCCAGATTTCCTGATACCAAGTTTTTTAGCGACTTCCAAAGTTGTCACCCCTTTTTCGCGCAAGCCATACTTGGAGTGTGGTATGGAAAAATGGTCACCATTACCTTAAAAATTTAAATAATTGGCTGAAACTTTCAGAAATAGTTTGAAACAAAATTACGAAGTAAAAAATATTAGGGTGTGCAAAGCAGACCTTTGCTGGCGCCAGAGCTTACGCAAAGTTTGGGCGCTATAATGCTAGTAGCGGACCAAATCCTTGACATGAAAACAATCTTTCAAACTGTATGTAAACACCGATCACTGTTCACCGACACGCAAAAATGCGTACTCTCTTATTTCGAATACATGAACTTCTTAATTTTTTGTATGATTTACAGACGGAAAATAGATAACGAAATTCATGTATCTCGCGGCAAGCAGATGGCTGGTTCAACATAATTTTCTTGTAAATTGTTTCATAAGTTCAATTTTTCAACTCCAATTTGTTATTTCTAGCTAAGAAAGCGGTTTAAAGACGCCAATAAAAAATTGTTCTTAAAATGCTAATAATGAAACAGTAAACTTTTGGAAATACTCGCATTAATTTTGAATCCATGGAACTGGAAGTGTGAAAAAACAATTAAAAATAGATGTCGTTTGTCCATTTTCAATTTTTTAATATTTTCAAATTCAGACCACATTTTCAAATTGTTTCAAAATTGAACTCCTAGAAGGGCATGCGATATGAAAGTTTAATTACTTGAAAAAATTCTAAATTTCTAGATTTTATTCGAAAACTCTGAACATCAAGAGAACTAGTTCAGAAAGTTACTTTAATATTTTGTGGTTCAATTACTTTCTTCTAGCCCCAATGTTTCCTTTTGGCTAAAATTTATCCATGATTTGAAACATTGAAAAAAGTGAAAACACTTTTCGAATCAAATCTTCTGAAGAAAAAACTTCAACTGGAAAAAAACCCAGAAAAAAACATTGAAATGACGCAAATATCTCTTTTTCTACAAGAAATCGAAAGAAGTCTTGGAATGTTTAATGTTGTCATCTGTCTCATTAAAAATCCTCCTCAAAGATCAAGTTCCAATGCCGGAAGACGCATTGGAATTCGAGATTTGAATTCGGAACTCTTCTTTTTTGAAAAATAAGTAAGATTTTTGAAAATCGAGAAGAGCGAGCGGGAGCTCAAACGAAATCCAATTTTCTCTTGCTTTGCAATTTCCGGAGCACATATTTTTTCCGAGTTCAAAAGTCTCAATTTCCAATTCGCGTTCTATGGATTATGAAGAAGAACATCACAAAAGAAATGAATAATCTTTGAAATCCCAAAAACGAAAATGGCGAGTTGGGGGTGGAAAAAACAGGTGAATAATATGCTGAAAAAAATGACTGGAGAGAGGAAGTCTGAAACTGATTTTTCAAAAAGAGGGAAAAGCATTTTCAGATCTTTGACTAGCTGAAAGTGATCAGAGAACTGGAAAAAAGATTTTGTGAAAAATCATAATTAAAGATAAGAGTTACTGTTTCATATTTGCTTGATTTGTGATTGGAATTTTAGTGTGTAGTATTTCTAGTAAATCGTTTAGGAATATATTTTTTAAAAATTTTACCGTTTCAAATAAAATGAAAGGACGATAAGACTTTCAATATACTAGTTGGTGAACATAGCTGTGATCAAGATGAAGACATTTTTTCAATGTTTTTTAAGTTTCCGATCACTTTGAAAATTTCGGAAGACGTAAAACAGACCTAGATTGAAAACTTTGCATTCACGGAACTTTGTTAGTTTTTCAGCTATTTGCCGATTTCTGAAAGACATCACTTTTTCACGGTATTTCAAACCAGCGGGTCGAAAATCGCGCCCGAGATAACTTTTAGGCCAGGCGAAATTTAATAATTTCAAAGTTGACGTGGATTTGACCTATATATTTTTCATCAACGCATTGCAACTCGCGATTTTTTCGCCCAACGTTTAAAAGTTTGATCCTCAGCCAACGAAAATTTGACACGTTGCGCAGTGATTTTTCACGTCCGCTGGGGCGCGTTTTCCGACCAGGCTGTTTGAAATAGCGTGTTTTTTCGTGTTTTTGTACTGAAGACGTGAAAAAAGCAGTTTTCCTTCAAAAATAGGCAAATAGCTGAAAAAATAGAAATTTTCAAAAACCATGTGAATGAAAATTTTTCAAATTAGATTATGTTTTACACCCTCCAAATTTTTTAAAATAGTTGGAAAATTGTTAGCCAAGCTCCATATTCTTGAAAATGGTCGAAATCCACAGAAAAATACGTTGTTGTATATCTTCGTATAATATCTACGAGTGGTACTGTCTATTGGTATTAAACCTTCCTAGAAGGGAGAAAATTATCTGGAATTCAACTAATTCAAGCTTGATGCCGAATATGTAACTTTTTTAACTCATAGTCACATCAAAAATGTATTTTTTTTTGGTTTTCAGATTTTTCTGGAACGATGAGAAACTTTTGGTGACCATTCAGTATATTAATTTCATCCTAAAATAGTTCATAACTTCTGTGAAACCGGAATTCTAAGAACTCATTAAGAATAACAAGATCTCTTTCGATCTTCTAACCAAAACTCCAAAACGTACAACTTTGCTTCAGAAAATATCTAACGGCCTCTCAAAAGTTAACTGTTTCAAAATGTCGGAAAATTGACAATTATATGGTTGCGTTAATGGTCCACTATATCCTTGATAATATGCCCAAATGAACATCCTGAAATCAACAAAAGTGTCTTCATCGCCACCAGAAACTTCTATTTAGAAAAAGGGCAAAGTTCAGGAGTGGAAGAAAAAAAGAAGCTTCTAGGATACGAGAAGCTCCAGAATATCAATGCGATTCTTCTTCGTCGGGGACAAGTTCTTGCCTCCTTTTCCTTTTCACATCATGAGAGTTTGAATAATTTAAGCGGAAAGGCGACAAGGATGACTGGTCTCAGACGGACATATATGAATATTCTTCTCATTTCTTCCACTTTTTTTTCTGGATACTAAAAGGGAAAGGTTTCTTCATTCGAAGACCTTTAGGATCATGTGACTCATGTAGTAGACAATAAGGGTCAATATGAAAAATGCTGAAAGATTTTGGTTCGAGAAAAATCTTATGACGAAAAGACCAGGAAATCTTTTGGAGTATTTTATACTGCAGGTAATCCTCCGGTGATCTTACTATACTTCTAAAAACTACTACTAAATTCGCATTTCCATTCAAAACTATATTCCTGATCTCTTTAGACCTTGGAATGAAACATCACATTCTTTGATTTTTGAAGTTTAATATTCTTCACCACCAGTGAAAGGAATAATAAAAAGTCAGTTTCCAATCTATACTTTCCAAACGTTTCAAAACAGAAAAATTTTCAGATTTTTTTAAACTTAAAAAAACTAAAAACTAAAGAAGCCCTTT